ATGATTAAAATCAGAAAATGCTCCCAGATTATGTCTGTGAATGTCCCCTAATGAAAACATTGGTGAAAGAACAAGGGAATCAGAAGGGAAGCATCAAAGGCAAAATATCTTCATCTCAGAGGAAAACAGTAGAAAGCTTCACATGAGGGCAATAGCACTTTTCCTGAGGCAAGGGTGGTGTCATCACCAAAATAAGTGGGCCCTAACTACAGGGCCCTAGCTACACTTAGGAGCCCTGTGTGCAAAAGGGCTGTCAGTCTTTTCCATTCCTTTCCTTCAGTGACAGAACAGTGCTGCTTTGGGGGCACTTGTCTGGCTCCTGGATCACACCCAAGTTGCGGACGTGGTCTCTGGTCTTTTAGTCATTGAGTTCGTTGAGTTATTGAGTTTACTTTTTTTATCCTCACCTCTCTAAGGTATGCACTTTGTACAAACCGTTAGTATCTCAGAATGAAGGAAGTTCAGGCATTCCAGGATGTGGGTAGAGAGGAGGCAGTGACCATCAGGGCTGACACAGTCCTGCCAAGCACTGAGTTCTCAGTGAACAACTGAGTTCTCAGAACATTTCTTCCCCAATGTAAAAAACTAATTGCTTATGTGGCAACAGGCCACCACAGTGAAGACTTGTTTAGAGCTTCTTGTCACTGAGGACAGACCAGTCACTCCTGACACTAATCAGGCTCTTCTGACTCTCAGGCTCTTCTTCCCCCTGAAGTGAAGTGGGCTCTTTCCAGCATCACCTGCATTGAAGTGCATTTGGGTTTGATATTCTCTACTCTGTTTTGCATCCAACCAGACTGCTTTGCAGCGTGACACCTTTCTTTGGATTGCATTAAACACACAGGGACACATCCCTCTTTGTTTTCTGTCTTCGGCTATATAAACATTAATATGACACATTGAACCACATATTTGACGGAAGCCTTGCAGAGGTTAAGCTTTGAGGAATTCTGTATGATCACCAAACAGGTAACTGATATCTGACGTCAGCATGGAAATATCTAAATTCACGTGAAAGGCAGTCTGAAACTTGTGGCTGCTGAATTTTTTCCAGGGTCTACTATCACTTGGGAATGCTTTTTGAATATTTTCAAACACTTCTGACTAGAAATTGTCATAAAGAAATATTGCTCTTCATATCACATCCTGCTCCCATTGTTTTCTTGACCGTAAAGATTTGAGAAGCAAACAGTTGATTTTGTGATATTATTGAGCTATAAGCTTAAAGACAAAATAAAAACAAGTGTACAAGGAATAAGGAGTCAGTGTCAAGAAATTGTTAGGCTTCTGTTTTTCTTTTTCTGTTTCTTTTTTCTTTTTTGTGCTCTTTGGAAGGTTTCCACAAACATCCAGCTTTGCTTTTCTTTTTCACGGTTACTTTGGCTCTTACGCTGGAAAACAATAGCTTTACCTTTGAAACACTGTGTGACTTTGGAAGGGATCTTTTTCTTTCTGAAAAACATTTCTCTGTATGGCTAGCAGCAGAGGCAGGTGTGGAAGGAGACTCTATTGTTCTGAGATATGGTGCTTCTGTTTGGTTGATATCTATGCCTTCTCTTCTGGGAGCTGTAGGTGGTAGTGTGGTTTGTTGGTTGCTCAAGACCCACTATTTGAGCAGAACCTTTGCTGCATTGCCAAGACTCTTAAGGCAGGGAGCACGCTCATGCGATGTTGGGTTAGGGATACCCTGCGTACCCGGTGGTGGACACAGACCTGATTTTTCCTCATTGGCTCCAGACATGTTTGCGTGTTTTATGCAGGGTTTTAGGCATGTCTACAGCAAACAAGTACACTTAGTGTACAAGTGTGGATGACCCCTCCTTACCTGACACCCTATCCTGTGTTTATGGTACCTGACATCACATCCTCGGGGCAACTGGCTTTTGGAGTTCTGTCTCCAATCTCTCATTGTACCATTGGGTGACTGATCTGATCAAGAGACTAGGACTGGCCCAGATCACAGGAGGTGGGAAGAGTCCAGAGGATAAGGCTGGGCTCTGCGTTTTTAGGCCATGGCTCAAATCCCTCCCACGGTGTTTGTTTTAGAAATGAGAGAGTCGAATATTCTGACAAGAATCATGCCCACTTGCTCTCCACGTGTGGTCATTTTACCATCCAGTCCCCACATGTGCACTGGCACACACATCCGGATGGTGTGTTCAAGAAAAAGGAGACCCTGGGGAAATGACAAGAGAGAAAAAAGAAAGAGGTTTCAGTGAGCTGTGCTCTGTCTGGGGCAGCAGCATCCATTTTCCTAGCAGCATGCTGAAAGGCCCAAACATGGGCAGGGAATTCCTGAAATTGGTTGGTCTCTGCTGGGCCCAGGGCCATCCTTGGCCCAGACTCCAAAAGAAAGGACTAGGGTACTCTGTGGGCACCTGGAATTATGATGTTTACTCCCCTTACGTGAGACAATAGCTACAGAACAAAAGGCTTCAGTACTCTCCTGTGGCGTGTTGGGTTTCTCCAGAGTTCCATCTAATCATAAAGGCTCAATTGGCCTTGGCTCTCCATCAATGACTTACACCTCCATTAGACCTCCATAGCCTCTCAGCTTTTCACGCATCTGGAAAAGACAAGAGTAAGTGTAAAATGGGAATATGTCACAGTATGTGAATGACACGCACGGCAACATTATTTTAAACCAGTGCAACGTTCATAAAGGAGCAGACAAAGCAACCCTGTTCTATTACCTACCTCTGCATTTCTTCCAGGCATAATGCACACTGGCCAGCATCTTGAGTCTGTACATCCTCCTTAGAACTTATTCCTGGCTTTCTTCTACACAGCACACTATGCATATCCATTTCCTGTGAGGGTACACATGTGAGAGCATTTGAATCCTCCCATGAGGGCTAGAGGGAGTGAACCGGTAAGAGAGCAAACGCCAGGTGCTGCTCTAATTGGGTTCCACCCTAGGTGCCACTCCCTGCTTTGTGCCACTGTCTTTGGGGCTGTTGTGGACCTAGTCCTGCCAGCCAGAACCGTCACTCTTGCTACTGTTGAGTATGCTGAAGGAGGAAAGCAATGCACAAGCTATTGCCAATGCCATGGTTGCCACAACAGGAACACAGAACGGCTTTGCTGGGCCACTGAGATTGTGAAGGCAGTGCCTTGATGCACAGGGCTCTTCATGACTTGGCACCTGACCTAGAAACCTCCTTGTGGTGGTGACCTGCACCCACCACCAGCGCCTCTGGTCCCACTGGCCCCCTCTGTGTCTCAGGTGGAAGGGAAATCCAAGTCTGAGTAAGTGCGAGTGCTGCCATCAGGGGTTAGGCTGCCTTAATTGGGGCTCCCTTCCAACATGCACTGGCTGGTGTGAAAATCTATCCCTGGGCATGGGTTTAGTGATTGAGAGCTCCACGGTCCTCGGTCAAAATGGCGACACAGTGAGACATAGAGACAGGGGAAGGGAGAGAGCCTAAGGAGGGCCAAAGTCCAGTAATTCCAATGGGAAAGGGACAACTCTTCCAGATTCGGGGCTTTGTACCTTCATGTGCCCTCAGTCAAGAAAGGAAGCCATCTCCCTTCCCAGTCCTCCGGGCCTGGATAAGTGATGTTCTAACCTGGGCCTTTCCAACGCCCTCGGCCTCTGAGTGCCTGCATGGTTTTGACACCAACTTGCCAGGCGCCACGAGGATGGGACTAGGATCCCCAGCTGAACAGCAAGGATATTCCTCTGAGAGATTATTTGGAATGACCCGAGAGAGAAAATACTTTGAAAATAGAACCAAGGGGTGAAATAGATTCACAGAGGGCTATTGTTCTTCACCAGGAGTGAGAAAGGGGCGATGTGGAAAGTGAGGTCACTAAGGCCATCTCCTAGCAAAGCTGCCTGTCTCAGGAATGAGTAACACCTGTGGGCTTTGGTGAAGGGAGCCTTTTACAGGCTACACCCTGAGCCCTGGGAGCAAGGGTCCTGTGTTCTTCCTACAGAAAGAGAGGAAAAAACCTGGACCTAGGTTGGTTTCTTGCCCCTTCTCATTAGAGGACAGTGACAGCAGTGATTCAGCTGTGGCTCTTTGGGGTTCCTGGCCGGTGGTCAAGTAGTGAGAACCTGGCCTGGGTCCAATACTCACTTCAAAGTCCCTTTGGGCACTATCCAGGGACTGGAGCAGAGTGCACATGAATCAACCATCTAATCTGCAGGAGGAAGGCACCTCTGTTAACCAGGAGAGGGAAGACAGTTGGCTATCTATCCTGTAGGTTTTTTTTCAGAGTATAAGGAATTTTATTTTTCCGCAGGATCTGAGAATAAGCCGATGATCTGCTGATCTGCCACCCTGAATACTTCAGTGAATGTCCTCCAAGCTGCACCCCCCTATGTGATCACGGGGCAGTCGCCGCCGTCAGAAAACGCACCCCAACCCATTACGGCCATCTCATCTCAAGACCCGGTTCAAGTTTTGCCAACTGTTCTTTTTTTTTGTTTTCATGTTTCTTTTTGAGAGAGAGAGAGAGAGACACAGCGCAAGTGGAGGGGGGAGGGGCAGAGAGAGAGAGAGAGACAAAGAATCCGAAGCAGGCTCCAAGCTGTCAGCACAGAGCCCCACGCGGGGCTCGAACCCACAAACCGTGAGATCATGACCTGAGCCCAAGTCGGAGGCTCCTCTGACTGAGCCACCCAGGCACCCCGCCCAGTCAATTGTTCCTAATAAGGTCTTTTATACAGCAAAGGGATCACGTTTACGCCTTTCCCAGACTTGCATGACCTTGACACTTTTGAGGATTACGAGCTAATAATTTTGCAGAATTTCCTTCGAGTTGAGGTTGTCTGAGGTTTGCTCGTGACTGGGCCTGGGTCGTGTACCTTTGGCAAGAATGTCCCAGAAGTGATGAGATGCTCTTCTCACAGCATCTTATCAGATGGCACGCGGTGTCGGTCTGTCCCATTTCTGGTCATGTCCACTTTGATCACTGGATTAAGATGGTGATTGAAAGAACAGCCAGCCACAGGCCCAGCGTTGGGGAAAGGAAAGCACAGGATGTATCGCCCGCCCTCCTTCACGACGATTCGCTTCTCTCTATCCGCCGGACCAGCTCCACCAACATCTCTGCCATCTTCGCGATCTCCTTGGCCTTCTCCTCCGCCTTCTTGCACCGTTTGGTCCCTCTGCCCTCGACTCCATTGTCGGGATTCTGAAGATGGTTCAGGGCGCTCTCCTCCGAGGCCTCCACCTGCGTTTTGATTTGGATGAGCATATTGTCCATCTCCCACAGCTTGCTCCGGTTCCTGTAATAACTCAGTCTGACAAAGCACCAAGCCCCCAGTGACACAGAGGCCTGATTTCCTCTGGGAGAGAAGACACAGAGCTGTCAGAAGGCTCAGGAACTGACTAGAAACTCCACACTAGTGTGTGCACCTAGGCTGTGAACCTCACACAGACCCATGGATCCAGCAATGTGCTAGTTTAAACAGAGAAAATTCTTCTGAGTCTTTTGCTCTAAATTGCTCCCAGGTAGAACATAGTTTAAAGAATGAGCCATAAAATGCAAATAGGCACCCCAAGAACCAAACTTTACCATTACAGAAGAGATTTGGCTAAAGGTCAAATCCAGTGCTTACTCTTGTCTCCTGGCAGGCTGTCTGGGAAGTAAGAAACACATGAAGGCTGCTGTAAAAGAAACCTGCACTGGCCCCACCTGAGAGTGTTATTCTGCAGGAGGTCTGTGTCCTTTCAGAAACAGAGGGAAACTGGATTTGGTGGTTGCTCCTGTCCTTCCCAGCAGGAAATTGATGCAGAAGCCAGGGGTTCCTTCTCCCAGCTGCTTGTCAAGTGTTTGGAACCTGGACCAGATGCAGTAGTTCTGTAAAGCGCCCTTTTTGTGCTGACCAAGTCCCGAGGCATAATGTGCCCCTGGGAACCATCTGTGAGACAGAAAAAAGGCAGAGCTGTCATTGTACTTACCAGAGTTGGCCAAGCACCAAGCACTCAGGGACAAGAAAGCCCTCCTTCCTTTGACTTGAAGTTTCTGGTGGCTCTCACATAGCACAGGACCAGAGAGTTGAGCACCAATCTTTGGGCTCTGCTTGTGTGAAGTAAGTGAAAGCCCAATCATCCCTAAATGTGCCTCAGGACTTAGAAGATAGAAAATTGGAGGCAATGGCTACAGCAGAGTCCCAGGCTCTCCATTTCAGAGGAATGGGAGAATGCTGGGACTGTCCATCCACCTCATTTGTCCTTCCTGCATGTGTAAGGCCGGTCCCTCCCCAAATCTTTGGAACTGCCTGCAGATGTCCATCCACACCTTGCTTGGCAAATTCTTATGCTCCAGGTCCCTCATTGTGAAAAGAGTTCTAATGGGAAGTTAGAAGAGGTCCTGTTGCCAATTTAAGCGTGAGTCACCATTATTAGCCAGATCTCCCAGATTAAAGTGGAGAATATTGCTGTGAGACACTGTGATAGGGGCCAAAAAGATTCTGGTTGGAAAAAAGGGCAAAGAATGGAAAATAATTGACAGATGTCCAAATGCTTCATTACAAAGGAGAGCAGAATGAGACTGAGAAGGACAAACCTGGCACAATCAACTGAGAAGCTCATTGTTGTCTATAGTAAGAAAGAGCAGTGGGCAGAGGGAAGAGGAAACACTGTCTGCACCAGGGTGCTCATTTAGCATGAGGCCTACGCTTTTCTTTCAGAAAGAGAAGGAAGGCTCCTGACCTTGGATGCTTTGCATGCCCTACCCTTCAGGGCAGGGAAAGTGATTCAGTGGTAGAAAATTAAGGGTCCTGTTGATGCTTTAGGTCTTGTCATCAAGCCATGGTGCAGTATTCCTTGTAAGGGATTTTTGGGCTGAATTTTCCTGGAGTCCTCTGTGCATGCCACATCCATCTGCCTGAGGAAAATGGTTTCACCTCTTCTAACCTTAGAGAAAGGAGATGTTACTTGAAAGATGGTTTCCCCACACAATGTTGTTTCACTTAGCTGAGTATGTGGCAGTTACCTTGTATGTCCGCATACGTTTTCAAATTCTTGTTGGTCAAACAAGATTTTGGT